GAAGATAACCTTACCGCAGCAAAAAAGCCTGTTGACTGCCAAGCACAAAATCATTCCTGCTCAGCAGGAGCTTAGTTCCTTCAAATATGGCAAGCGTATTTTTTTCTCACTTTTTACTTTCTTCTTTCTTCTCCTTTCTTAACTCATGGCTTACAACTACCAACAAAGTCCCTATCCTCAATCCCAATATCCTCCCTCTTATCCTCCACAAGGAGGTTATCCTCCTCAGTCGCCTGCTCAGGCACAACCACCACCACCACAAGGTGGTTATCCACCAGTGCAACGACCAAGCAGTGAGTTTCTATTGTTCCTCGGTATATTAAACACAGGATCTATCGGCTAATCGGTTGGTATCATTGTTTTTCCTGAATAGTGCGCCCACCACCTCCCGGAGCTGATCCCCAGCTATGGTATTGGTTCCAGATCGTTGATACTGACGCTTCGGGATTCCTGACTGTGGACGAGTTGCAACGAGCACTTATCAATGGTGATTGGACACCCTTCAATATTGAAACTGTTCGCATGATGGTGGTCATGTTTGATACAGATAACACGGGAACAATTGATTTCAACGAATTCACGGGACTTTGGCGATACATTGAAGATTGGCAACGATGCTTCCGCACATTTGATACTGATGGATCTGGAAACATTGATGCTCGTGAATTGAGACATGCATTACAAACATTTGGATACAATCTATCGGAACCATTTGTCAATATCCTAATTCAAAAGTTTGATCGATATGGTATGTGGGAAGGAAATGGTGGTTGGTGTTGTGCTGAGTCACACACATGCACACACATTTATATACAAACATGTGCCAAGATAAGGTTTACTTATGGGAAGCATTACAATAACATAGGACGTGGAAACATTACTTTTGACAATTTTGTTCAAGTATGTGCTACGATACGATCATTGACTATGGCTTTTCAACGCTTTGATACTGATGGTGATGGAGTTATTCAAATCGCATATGAGCAGGTATGTATAATGGGTATTCAAGCAAAGCGCAACTTTCCAACTCACTCGATATATGATTCCAGTTTCTCGGTTTAGTCATTCAACAACGTATCTAGCATCCATTTGATTTTGTATATAAGTTTAGACATGAATATACCCTCGCACTTTGCCGATCATTGCTACTCAACATGAATGGATCACGAAATGATAATGGTTGCTTTACTATGCAACAAGTAGGTATCTATGCCATCGATGGGAAAAGGATGTTATATGTAATAATGGAAAAGGTGGAAATGTTGTCATGTGTCAAGGAGGGAAACTAGACTATCAATAATGAATGTATGTAATGTAAGAGGAGCATAGTAATAGTGGCTTGGATACTGCATCTGGTTGTAAAGTGTTCTGGGAGACACCGACGAATGAGTGAGAAAGGGCGCCGCTGATAGTAGAGTGTGCGTGGTTTGTGTGTGGTGTGTTACTCTCTCTCTCTCTTTCTCTTTCAAACAAGTTATTATCTTTCTTTTTCTACTCTCTCACCCTGTCAGCGATTGTTCTTTTAAAAAGTGTTTACTTTCTTTCACGTTGGCAACCAGCTCTCCGTTTGCTCTGTGCATATCACTCTTATCGCGTCTAGCAACAGTACTCGCTTCATTTCCCTTTGCACAACGCTTTCTTCATTCTCTCGCAGACTTTGGGTGACCAATTGAACGATTGGGTCATTATCACGCAAGAAAACAGAACATACACACAGATACCTTGGAGTGGATTCCAATAGCAACAAGGCATAAAGTAACCATGGAAGGCATTTCCTCTGTGAATTCCAGCGATGGTGTTGAAGACGATGCGTCCACTCGACCTGGTTCCTCTCGACTATCGCTCGGCTCCTCTCCTTCTGAACTAAGTGATGACGATGGCAATACTGGAATGAACGTAGGACCAGACGATGACTTTGCATTGGACGATGGTGAAGGATCTCTCACTCCCACTGAAAAGATTGTCATGGACGAGGATGACAATGACCAGCTTTCAGCACAACAACCACCATTATCACCTACTACTGCACATGATCATCAAAGAGCAGTGACCAATGTATCCACGGGAGATGATAATGCTGTTTTTGATGATGGATTATTCGAGGACAGTTCCGATACGTTAAGCAATGCCCCCATGGATATGGATGATCGTGACGAAGACGATGATGAAGAAGAACCATTATTATCTTCATTATCACTGACTGGTGATAATGCACCCTTATCACCTGATCCTGAACATGAACATGAATCAAAACAAGAAGATGAGGAGGATAAGAATGAGCAACAACCAAAGGACGAGTTAGATACCACAATTACAAGACCGGAAAAGCAACAAGTCAATGGCATTGTTGATGCGTCACAAGAGGATATACATATGAAGGATGGTGATGATGATGATGATGATGATGAAAAAGTACAAACAAAGAGAACAAGGAGCCCTGTCGAAGAATCACCCACAGCAGCAGCAGCCACATCAACAACAGGAGGAGCAGCAGCAGCAGAATCATCCTCATCGGATCCAACCCCGCCATCACCATCCATGTTGCCAGGAGATAAAAATGAAGACCTACAACCACCCAACAATGACAATAACAAATCACCTACACCACAATCACCATCATCAAGGAAACGGCGTGGTTCTCAGAGCTTGGAAGAAGAGGAATGGCAACAACGGAGGAGTAGCAAAATCATGGAACTTAAAGAGCAACAAAATGGTTCAGATCATGTATCGGAAGGTTCTCAGTTACCATCTTCGAGCGACCCTGAACCAAAAGATGAATCAAATCAGGAACAAGACGACAAACAAGAAAAAGATGAAGGTGAGAGTGTGGATCAATCTTTGAATGTCGGTCATATTTATTTATCTTTTTTTCTGCAGAGGAAGATGGTTGTGATCAAGAATACCAACAATGGCACAAGGAAGCTTTGGATGCATTAACCAAGATTGAAGTTGAGTTTGCTCGACTAAGAGACAAGTACGTTTATTATCAAGTATTGGCAATCAAGTGTATGGCACTAAGATAATCCTTTCTACTAGAATGTATCAAGAGAAAATGTCCGAATTAAATGAAGAAGCCCTCATGATCGCACAAGGTACTTGTCAAATGCGTATTGCTTTTATGCTCAACTGACAAATTGTTACAGGAACACATCCCGAATTGATGGCTATGATGGAGACCATTGAGAAGAAAAAGAATCAAAGGATACAGACTGCTGATGCATGGAGGAAATACAAGCGTGTCAGCTACCAACGACAATTTGAAGGATTGGAATACCAAGCTAATATTGACTTTGTGGTGAGTGGTATATTCGAGTGTGGTATGTGCAAAGCGTTATAACTTACACCATGCTTTTTATTAGTGTGGAAAGAATGGTTTAAGGAGGAGCATCTTGGATACATTGAATCGGAAACGTTGGGATCTCGATACTGAGAGAGATAAGCTTAATGAACCGCTCACAGGTAAGGATGCAACGTTGCATGTTCAATTCATGTTAGAGCAGTTACTAATATAATGATATAAAAGATGCTGATCGAGTTCCTGATGCAAATGTACTTGGTCATCGCAAACGTGGACAATCTGAAGAAACGAGGGATTTACATCGGATCACTCACTCTATCGGCTTTCCAATGGCACCCAAAGCAGAGGGACTTGCAAAAGACTCGGTCGAGGATGATCTGGTAGCTCTTGGGGTAAGTGACATTGAATGAGATGTTTGGTGTTCATATTCATATACGTTATTTCTCACACGCTTTTGCATCGTCATCATCATAGATTATACCTGCCAGTAAGTAACAATATATCATCTTGGATGTGCATGCGTCTAAATGTTACATTCTGGCATCATCAGCAACTGCAACCAATCAAGAAAAGAAATCATCAACATATAATATGACTCGCGACCCATTAAAAAAAGTGCTGGACACATCACTCGGAACGAATGTAAGCCCGGTATACGCCTACCAAGGACATCTACACTACCATGGAAAAGTTTTCCGTAAAGGGGATCAATTTACTGTGGTGGATGCAAATGCAGGGCGTTATAGTGCCAAGTTGTTAACCGCAACTGATACAGAGGTATGCTAGTGATACTTTGGGAATTGGCATTCGCTTAAGACAAGATGTAATAGGCTCACATTCAGCGAACGGATGGCTCTAAAACCAAGTTGCCCTTTATACAAATGTCACGAGGAAAATACCAACTCTACTCCAAACATTCATAGCATTCTCTTTACCTCTCGACCCCTTCTCCCGCTTCTTTCCCCCCATTCTCAACCACCCCATTTAGCCTATTCATCTACCATACAATAGGACGAAATGTTCAATGTACTACAATTATTTTTTCATGCGATTTTATAGTGTATCTTTATGCCATGTTGAGATAATGTCTTTACGAAATCTGGGTTGCTAAGATTTAAGGTGTATACACTCTACTGTCAAATAATATGATTCCTGACGCCTCCTCTTTTGAATGGAGTAGTGGAATACATACAGCTAGCTTACACACGTTCAAAGTAACATTGACGAAAGCTCGACAGCGGTTTGCTTCATGCTCAGTAGAAATGCGATGACATGCCATTCGACCATTAACCGACATTGGTACTGATGTACAAGTGGAATGTGTAATAAAAGCTATTGAAAACAATGACATTTGATAAGGTGTTAGAGTATCATTAGAGAAATAGATACAAAAGCATAAATCTAACCTGAACTCTCATCTATACCAAGCACGTCGGAGAAGCTGTACCTGATCATCACAGCGGTGATCGGGAAATGAAATGCATTACGGTCATTCATTCAATGATAAATCTATATTATATTCGAAATTGTATCTGATTGATCTCCCCTATGACTTTTTTGAATTTATCATCAAATTCTTGCACTGCTCCGCTACATTACGGTGGTAATTTGAAGTCTCTAGCACGAAGTTTTTTAATTCCGCATTAGGAAATGTTTTCCTTTATATAGCATCTTCCGTTCCAAAAATCCAACAACAGCAATTCCGAGCTTAGCTCAGTTGGTAGAGCGGAAGACTGTAGTGTACTGCCATCTTTAGGTCGCTAGTTCGAATCTGGCAGCTCGGATTCAGAAGAGCTCTTCGGAGCACTTCCTTTTTTGTTTTCTTCATTTTGTTTGTGTAACGTCACGTGTATTTCATTTTTGCATGATTTGATTAATTATCACTGTTCATTTGCTTTTAGGAGATAGTGAATATACAGAGGATCATCATATTCAAATATATTACTCGCATAATGTAGTTTGGTTGGCTTATCTTATTACAAGGATGAGCAAAAATCGACAAGGAATAAAGTGAATGTTAAAGATTTACAAGATAATAACATTTGTACATGGCTTATCTATCGGTTCAAAAGTGACATCAAGCTGATATACCACCAAGGAACGTGCACAATAATCACATATGATATATTCACAGCATTTCCTTGAATCGTTGTTTTCAATAGGGAACATGTTTACTGGGATCACTGAACATCTGTAGGTGAAAAAGTATCATGACAAATCTTTAAAGAATGATATCACTGTACGCTGCTCATTCGTCTTCACAAGGTGTTTGCTTGCAGCTTTGTTCGTAGAAATGTGAGAAAAGATTTAGACATCATTGTCGATCGCTTGAAATGATACATTGGATATACTAGTATATCTCATATATGAATGGAAGCAGGTTATAAGAAGATTGTTCGATTCCAATACACGTTTGATAGATCTCCTATCCAACAAAGACAAATGTTCAAACTAGTGCAGTGTCCATACCATCTCTTTATTCAGAACATGGGCTATTCCTACAATAACCTCTTTATAACAGTACGCTTTATATGGTGTTCCCATTCCCTTCAAATGCAGAATACATTCCCATGCTCTGATGGCAAGATGCCATCATCCTTAACGTGTAAAGTGAAAGCTTATTCATTTATTGGTACAAGCGAAAAGAATATGCAAGTGGATTATATAAATGATCGATAGTGAAATAATCTTTATTGTTCAGTCATTGCTACATCACCACCTTCATCCTTCTTAGGTTCTTGCTCTTCTTCCTTCTTAACATCTTCAGCAGAAGATTCCGGTTCATAGATGGTACTTGCCTATTTTCCATAAAAGTTAATTTGATACAAAGGAACCAAAGTCATTCAACTTACCATTTGCCACACTTGAACAATGTTATCCTCAGCTGCACTTGCCAACATCCATGGATCTACTGGGTTCCATCCAAAATCGGAAATCTTGTTGGTGTGTCCTCCGTGCATAAACTGATGGTGATACATATTAAAAGTCGAGTTCAATCAGCGCCTCCATAAATGTTACTTACCAGTAATTCAGGAGGACCATCCTCAGCATCTTCTGGCGACATTTCTTGTCCTATCCTTGATAAATCCCACACCAATACCCGTCGATCATTTCCAGCAGTAGCAAGCACTGATTCGTGATGAGGTGACCATGCAAGTTGAAGAATTTCTCCCTGATGACCTTGTAATTCGTGTAGTTTGTGTTTTGGATTACGTAAATCCCACAATGCTGCAGTCTAACGGTATTGTCATGAGAAATCCATCTGAATATAGAGCGCTTTAACACGCACCTGATCACCAGAACCAGTGGCAAGGACCCATTCGCTGTTAGGGCAGAAACCAACGCAGTTGATACCAGCATTATGCGCATAAATGTCGTGAACCGGTGTATCAGTTGACTTGTTTCGAGCATCCCATCTTTATGGAATCAAATCATGGGTTAGAGTTCACCTTCTCCAATGTCGCTACTATACATACATCATCAACTTGCAATCATCACCCACTGATGCAAAAATCGTCTCATACTTTGAATGCCATGCCACGTCCTATAGATGATCCCGTTAGGATACATATACGTGGATACCATAAGCCATCGTCAGTTTTACCTCAACTGGGGCAGAATGACCATTATATACATGTAGAGGTTCGATTTCTTTGTTCTCCTTTGACGCTGCAGCAATATCCCTAATCAATGATCAACATGAGTCATTGTCTGTATAAACAAATGAGAAAATAACGTACCAGTAACACACGCGCGAATCAAAACTGCCACTAATTAAATGGGTTGATTTGGCTTTGTGTGGATTCCATGCAAGACCATATCTACAAACAATGAAAGTTCATCAATGATCAAGTACTAATCCCTCTTTGTTCCCCTGCTTACCCTTCTTTATCATGGCCTAATAGTTTGAATGTGGGATTGAAGCGTTCAAATACTCTCGGCGTCTGACCATATTGTTTTCGATCAAAGATATACACCTCCCCGGTTCTCGACTTGGTTGCAATGATATCTGTATTATCCACTTGATAACGTGCACGATTGACTTCGCCTTCATGTACAATCTTTTGTTCAATCTTGATATGAGCATCATAAGGTGCTGTGCCGTTGGCATTGGAATCATCATCTTCTTCTATAAACAACACATGTATTAGTCTCGAGTTACAAAGTGCATATAGTATCATACCCATTGCTGTATCGTCTGTTGTTGACTTTCCGTTGAGAGCTTGTTCATCGTTTGGTAGTCTCACTGTGGCAATCTGAACGTAGTTGCGATCGTCATCGTTTGTGTGTGTTCCTAAGAGGAGACGCTGAATCTTGTAATTGTTGTCAGGAAACCTAGAAACGAGCGAGTAAGCCATTGCTTTTGAAGTTCACGTGGTAGTGATGACAAGTGTTGTGTTGGCTTACTTCTCTACTTCAGGGAACCATTGACATGTTAGACTTGGCCATTCCAGTGCGTGAGAGATCAACAGATCGTATAAGAAAGGCGAGTTCTTTTTCCAAGTCTTATACTCTTCGTTGATGAGTTTTTCAACTTCTTGTTGTTGTCGAGAGTTTAAGTCTTTGAACGCGTCAATGAGTGAGTTGACAAAAAGTAATTGGGGGTTGAACCCTTACCGTGCGTCATATCCTACGCGAAATGGAAAGAACCACATTAAGTGCTTACACGAGCTCTTGCTGAGATGAAATTTGCCCTCTACTCAGATACGACCGCTTAGTTACCTGAATTATGCAATACGTTACAAAATCATGTAGTCTAGAATGTAATCGTACGCTGGTTATAGAATGCTACGTGATACTTGGACAGCACAATCATGATCCAGAAATGTGGTACCCTCGGTGACAGCCGTGTCTTGGTTACCGAATAAACATGTGATTCACACTACAAAAAAAGATTCCATGGATTGACATATAATGTTTTCTCGATAAGGATCTAATGAAGAGTTACCCGAGCTGGTTAGCCGGATGATAAATCAACAAAGGATTAAACGCACAGTCGTGAATTATGATAGTTAATGTGCTGACGTGTGCAAGGAGGAATTGCTTTCCTGGTTTATTGGTCATGCATAAAAGTATGATATGAAATTGGACAATCAAATTGCCAATGATGGTTCAAATGCACGGTGTAGTTAATAAGACAAGCTCTAGTGAAAGCAAGTGTATGGATGCCGATCTTTAAAGAGGAGAGTGAGCATAAATGTAAAGACAAAGCACACAATAGATTTCCTTGACTAGTCGATACCCCTTTCTTGTTTCTCTCCCTTGTTCTCAACATGGAATATGAGCACGCCATAGTGACAGCTGCACGGCATTCTCCCCAGAATCGGAAATGGAGGATCTAAACGGAGCTGCCAAAACAGCATCTCGAATTTGCTTGAAATAGCTCGATAAGCTTAGATGAAAGCTTTTTTCCATCATTTAGTTCATCCGGTCAATTTAATGCTTTACCAACGTGATTTCTGCAATGATCAAGATAATAAACCGAAAAAGGTATTATTGGTGACACATCTTTGTGCAGCAGTAGCAATATGCTTGTGGGGTAGTACCAACAACACGTCATGGACATGGCTGGACTGTTCGAGCGATACAAAGACCCTGATCCACATTAACAAAGTAGCATAATTTCCTTTTGATAACTAGACTTGATTCTAATCTGGTCAGGGGGGAAGGGAATTGTGTTCCAACTTGTGTTTTTAGAACTAGATAATGTGGTCTTTGCATTACTTATGGAGTACAGCACAACTCAGCGTGTTCGCGTGCCTGCGATCTAATTACAGATATTGATCCGCAAACAATAGCCCATCCTACAGCAGCAACAGCACAGTAGCAGTAATAGCAGTTACCCCTCAACCACCCCTATATTCCTTGCCCATCATTCAACTAAGATGGTTGATCTGCAGTTATTCGAAACCCTCGTGTATAGATATTATATGCTGCCCAACTATTTTTATCCAATACTCAACAATTGACAACAACCAGGGGATACCAAGACATGATACAAAACAAACATCAAGCTGCAATAGTCATGTACTCTTTTAATTGAGAAATATACATTATATCTAAGCTTGTTGACTCAGTTTCTTTGTTGTTTATGATGTTGCAGCAATAGCTGATGATTGTGATATGTGTTGAAAGGTGTAGAACAAGTTGCTAAGGAGACATGACCTCACCATGGGTTTCCATATTTCTTCATTACCATTCCCCTGAACCTCGTGTTCGAGTTTACTTGCTTGCCACCTTTTTCCGGTTCCGCTGGCTAGGCTTTACTTAGTGTGCACACTCTCTCAATGGACTCGTCATTCCAAATTGGACGTTGCTCCTTAACGTGGAAACAACCAAACACACACCACGCAACACAAGGCGGATGCTTCACAATATCGGACTGGACCAATCAAATTGGAAAGCCTTACTGTCTCGGGTCGGCTCGAGCTCATCTGCAAGATGCCCTTAAATACCCAGTTCTTTTTATCACTGACATATCCTTTACCTTCTTTTCTACTTTCAATTCTTTTTTAGAAAGCATTATCCAAATGTCTTCTTGCATCCAATCGTCGTTTACACTCGGAAAAACTGAACCACAACCCAGTGTTCTCAATTTCGTGGATCCTAGTTCTTTGTCTTCTTCAGCTTCTTCACCATCATCCAATGCATCACCTCAAATGTTGGCAACCAAGGAACAGCCAACCATGGATCGTCGATTCAGCTATACTGAAATGTTATCTGAACAAGTACCTGCTACTGCTCCAGATTATACACCTGATGCCAGTTATCATCCACATTTACA